AAATAGATATAATTAGAGTTGGTTTCAAAATAGCATGTTTACTATTCAAGGGTTTTGAAAAATGGTGAAGTCTCATGACACTTTTTATTGCTGAAAACATTGATCAGCTTGGGTTTCTTAAATGGGGCCATAGCACAACAATCACTATTGTCAGTAATGATTTAGTCACAGGATTGAATGAAGGGTAGTGAACTACGCTAACCCCATTTAGATGCTGCTTTGAACATTCAGGTTATGATTCAGACACATTGACTGGATACTGCAAAGAAGCTTGTTCTGTCATTGCTCATGCAATATCTTGTATGCACATAGATGACTGATCTCCAGGAATAACAATCTGACAATTTAATCACTATTGGATTAATGTTTAAAAAGTCAAGAAAGTTGAATTGAACCCCAAGAAGGTTTTTAAAAAATCAGTTTCTTACCAAATTATCTAAGGATTAGGAAGATGGAAACAATGGTTTAAATAAAATAAATATGGAATGGACTAAATCTGATCAGGTTTGTTTTTTTTCTGGATATAACCGTTCTCACTTAAGTTTGTGTACAGAGCATTTTTCTAATGTTATGATTGTAGTGAGTGAATTCTCATGTGACTTTTACTGACCTAGTATGCTTTCTATTGTTTAGTTAATGTAGTTATTCAGAATATGTTAATTGTTCTATTCCTGCTGACCTAAGCACTGAAATATGTACCTCAGTCATGTGTTTGTGGGAAGCTGATCATGAAAGTCTGCCGACTTTTTACATGCTTACATTAGATAAAATGTATTCTGGTCAGGCCACATCATCTAATTTTTTTTTTTTTTTTACTGCTTCTTCACTTGAAGTGCCATTTTATGAGATTACAGTGATGATCTTCTTAATCATGCCATAATCTCAGCAACATTTTTCATATTGACCTTTCCTTTGGAAAAATGATCACACATTATTAAAGCATAATTTTTACTTCAGGGATTTTGAGTGTCACTATTACAGTCTCTGGAGGATATGGAGCTTTTATTTCATTCATGATTTTATAGCATCAGGTTCAGACCATTACAGCTCCCTGTTTGTAGCCCTTCCATGTTGTTTTCAACCAATTATAGTTACCAGCTACCACCATGCATTCACAAGAGCTCAGCAGCCACAAGGCTTGCTCATTGGATCTAAACGCTTTCAGTTCATCACAAAGACTGAGATCTTCACTGTACATATTTTCCTGTAAAGCTAACTTTAGGGAAATATAATTTTGATACACATTTTCAAACTGTGACATTTTGGTATCAGCATTGACTCATCTTTGAGATCTGACCATTTCCCCTCCCTAACTTTAAGACAAAAATTTTAAAAGGGGGGGGGGGGGGGGGGGGGTTCTTGGGTGGAAGGGGGGGATTTGGGGGGGGGGGGGGGGGGGGTGGGGTCTTCCAATTATATTTATGATTTATAATCCAGATCCACTTCTGAATACTGTGGCTCCAGAGGTGCTTGGTAAGACCCATGACCTGAAGTCCCCAACACTGCTTCTGCTGCTAGCCTCTCCATCAGGGGCCTGCAGCTTTCACATTTACAATTAATATTTGACTGTCTTAATCACAACTACTTTTGCCTCCTGCAGGGAATGAGATAGTTTTTTAAACTTGTTTTTCAATGCTTTGTTCTCAGGATGGCACTAGAATATCTGTTGAGGGAATGGGGATATATTCAGCCGTGTTACAGCCCATCCTAGGAACCGCACGTTTTAATATACTGTTACAATTGAGCTTGTAATATTGCGCTCATGGGATATGAGGGCCAGTTAATCTTGAATCATTGACTATAATGCCTCCAAAACAAACAGCGGTGGAAAATTTATTACCTCTATTGGCACCTCAGTTTCACAGAGACTCAGAGGGGAACTCCCCTTACACCTCTGCTACACTCCCTGGCATAATCTCTTTGATGATCATTTGATGACAGAAACAAGTTTGAGTGTCTGGGCTTTAGCCTTCTCAAGACTTCCCTGGAATCCATTTCTGACTTTCAAGCACTGCAAATAAAACGGCTGCTTGGGCTATTCTACCTAGTAGGATTTTTCAGTTAGAGGTTAGATGTGTCAGTGAGAAGGAAATAGAAAAGAAACACAGGTAGATTTGGGAATACAGACAAACAGTACTTAAAGACTTTTAAGAGTCCCTATCGGGAGCTATATGTTTGAAAACTATACTTTAAATGAGAAGAGAGAGATTTTTGCACAGTGGGCAAATCCAGGGTACCTTTGTGATTAGATAAGGGCTTGTATGCACACCAGAGTTAACGCTTTAACTTCAGTTGTACAGGTAGAGCCCTATAACCCCTGTGTGTGGATGGAGTTATATGGATATAAGGCATCTTTATCCCAATATAACTGCATCCATGCTAAGGGTTGTACTATTATAATGCTTTGGGTTAAAAAAAAAAACCCAAAGCCAAAAAAAAAATCCATACACACTCAACCAAAATAGTTAGACCAGTTTGCAGAATGTACAAACCAAGCCCAAGATAGAAACTGGATACATCTAGCATGAGGGCATGATCTAACACATAATACCAAGAACAATGAATACCCTTCACATGTGAGTGGTGTCTAAGGACGTGGAGATGGAAGGGGCCTCTGAAATGCTGGATTTGGGCCTGGTCTACACACAAACTCTTGGTGTATCTAAAGATATAATTTTAAACCACAGCAGTTAAACCACTGCAGTGTCATGTGGGGGATGTTGCTAGTGGTCTAAACCTGCCTTGTAGCAGCTTAACTTGCATATGGAAATATACAGGTGCAATCTAAACAGCTACAGCCAGATTTAAACCAATATAAGATTGCCCGTGCACAACATTGCATCAGTTTCACTGAGTCTGGTTTTAATCCCATTTAAAATCAAACTAGAGCAACTTGTGTTTTCACAAGGCCTTAAACACAAAAATGTGGGTGAAACTCCATAACAGTCATTGTAGGGGGCAAAGACTTTTGCCTGGTATATAAGCAGGTTGGGTGAGGAATAAGGTGATTTCTCTGGAAATCTTCTCCCTGATTAGCTCTGGCACACCCTCTTGTTCCTGTGTCCAGAGATGTAAGATTTTTTTTTCTGAATAGCAAAGGTGAGAATGCCTGTGGAGCTTATATTCTGGGAGGGTATAGGTATGTTATGCAAATATAGGTATGTTATGCAAAAACTGTTTTACTATTATTTTCTCTCTATCATTGATAAATCTTGTTTAAAGAAAACTGTTGTCCTGGTAACTTTACACAGATGGTTCCACAGGTATGAGAAACCCTCAACTTCCAAGAAGAAAAAACTGACATCAGCTTCTGAAACCAGACCTCCTACCCATGAGTTTGGTCAGATGGGGCACGAACCATCCCGCCCCCCACTAAATTGTCAGGAACAGCTGCAGCAGGTAAACACAGGGAAGAAACCTAAAAACCAAAGAAGAGACTCAAGTTGGCAGTGGTGCAAGTGAAGATAGGCAAAAAAGATATTGCTTCTCTACCTTTAAATAAGCCAGGGTAAAATTATTTTTGTGCATCAATGTTTTCTTGATCAGGATTTTAAGAAAAAAAAAAAAGAAGAAGAAGAAGGATTTATCCCCTTCCAGGATTTCTCACACAGTTTGGTTTGCCTTTTAACCGTATAACAGAAAGGAGCATAAAGGCTTCTAGAAATTACACATGCTTCAAAAGAAGCAGGAAGTGGTTGCACATACACACACATACAGGCTCCCCTGCCCCCATCTTGTCTCTTTTCTCAGGATGAATCATAGCACCTTTATTTTTATATATGTAAATATGTTACTCAATATTAGTATAAAATGTCTCAGTTTGGTTCCCCATCAGAAAATGTCTCAGTTTGGTTCCCCAGTGTTTGATGGGTGCCAGTTCCAGCCTCTGTGGGTTGAGTTCATCTCTAAGTATTAGTGCTCTCTAAGGATGAAATTTACCCTTTAATCAGGGCATTAAGTGGGACTCAAGCAATGCACAGGTCACATGCTGCGATAACAAGGAGATGGATTTCATAACTGAGGTATCTTAAACTAAAACTTTCCTGTAAAACCTCTGAGTATCTTGTTTTTGAACAGGTTTTGTTTGTCTCTTTATTGAAGAAACTAAATGCAGCAGTTTTCAGACACTCAAACAGTTGAGTACACCTTTGCTAAAATCTCCACCGTGAATCAGATGTTTATTGATGCATCCCTTTCTAATGCATTTTCTTTAGAAGTGGAATCAGTCCATTATGTAGTACTGTCAAACAGTGCAAGGAATAACACAGTGTAATACTATGTCAGGAGGGGCAATGAGAGCAGGATATTGCATATGTTGTCTTCATTTTTTACTTTCTGTAGTTGATCAATGCAAGGTCATATTTTTATTGTTTTGTTTTTACAGCCAGGCATTTTAGATATTTAAAGGCATACTAAATTCATCATCTAATGATTAGCTGACCTTTGGTGACACCTTTGTGTTTTAATTTATTTTTGGAACACTACTTCATACATAGGTTGGGACCAGATCTAGATCTTTTTGGTACAGTTTCTGCTACAATTAGTCAGAAAGCAATTGTTTATCATATGAATCATATCCTCAGTTCTGCCACATCTCAGGTTGATAGCAAAAGGATTGACGGTGCCTGTAAACAAAATATTATTGTCCTAAAATCTTCCTAATGTCATCCTATTGAATTTTGAATTCTATTCTCTCATCCATGTAATGTCTTGTTTATATACTTAGCTCCTTTGTAAATTACTGTACTGGCCAGGTTGATTTTTGTTTTAAAGTCATACCTCGTTTTGCTTACACAGATGCAAATTATTATGGTGAATTACAGCTCATTGAAGATGGAATATAGAAAGTTTTTGCATTTTTTTCCACATTTCTTGAAGCTTTAGAAATTTTCTGACCAGCTGTGGAAAGACAAGTAACTGCAAGTAAGTATGTGTGGGCATACAATAGGCTTTTGCTCAGAACAAAGAGTCCACATTAACACTTACGGGCTAAGAGCTGATTCATATTCTCTACCAGATGCCTGTTAGTTCCAGTCAGTTACATGCCAACATTCTCGACTACACCTATTTTCCATTACATCCAAGCGTAAGTAACACTGTTCGTTTTACAGATTTTTATCTTTGTTTCAAACTGTGAACAAAGCTAGCATGTTTTATCAATTAAGCACAAATAGGTGCTGTGATTTATGTATTTAATCCTTTGCCTAACTGTGATGTTCTGTAAGTATGGATCTGGTTCAGGTTTACCAATTAACTTTCAAAATATCAAAAATAATAGGAAGCAGTCTAAATGAGGGATTTAAACGAAAGAGTAAAGCATAATTCAGAATCCAAGTAATATAATTATGAAAGGACCTGGCAGTACCATATACTATTAAGATTGCTAACACTTCTCTTTAGGAGTATAAATATGCAATTTACATGAAGGATTGATGAACACAAAATTGGTCAGGGATTTAGTTGCTTGTCAACATAGGTGCCTTTTGCTCCACTCAAAACAATTTTCATTTGATAGAGGAATTAAGATTTAATGACCGCCATACATGTATCCTGTAAATAAAGTACATATCTGAACGAAAATGTTATTGTACTCTCCACAGTAAGCGGGGAAGAAAAATTAAAGCCGAAAGAGTATCCTAAAAGCAACAGCAACAAAAGCCAAAGGGCTCTATCTTGCACCTACTGGAGTCAACAGGAGAGTTGCCTTTGACTTCAACAGATGTACAGTCAGGTTCAAACCCTGAAGGAAGGGTGGAGCCTGCTCTAAGAAATTATGAGGGCAGGGAAAGACACATAAAAATACATTTGTCATCTATCCTCCAACACTATCAATCTTTTTATGAGTAGAAACCATATGAAAATCTAAAGCCCCAGTTCTGCAAACAGCTCTGTGCATGCCGACTGCTGCATCTGCACAGAAGTCATTGTCATTATTTGAAGCATGATTACATTTAGGCTTGTGGCTGAAAGAAGTATGCAAAAACGAACCTTCGAGCCTGGAAAACTAACTGCCTGAAAGGATGCATTATCAACATGCAAATAGCTCTTAGTCTATCAAAGACCTCTTCTGGTACGTGTTACATGAAGTTGCTGGCAACAGGGCTACAGGAGTATCTGCCAAATACCCCTCTAGGTTCATCAGATTCCTTTGAAGTAGTGCATATCAGCTGGAAGGAATATGAAAAGCTGTCTAATAAGGAATAGTGAGCTTCATTAAATATTGAATACAATGGTTAGCTGTGCTGCAAAGGGATGGAATAACAGGCATAATCCAAAGGGTTGTAACAGAGAAATATCATTAGCTTTACACAAGGCAACCCCCCCACCACCACCTTGTAAAAGCTCAGACACCAAAGAGATTCCTAGTAAATACCCAGATAGAGTAAATATTTTATTAATGCATGTGTTCGATATCTGAACTTCAAGGACTATGCAGAATATAAGCATGAGTACAAGCCCCAGAGCAGAACCATATGGGAGGCCATGAATGCAGCCATTTCAGCATGGGGACAGTGACAGAATTCAAGCCGTAGAGCAGAAAGAGACCTCAAGAGGTCATGTATTCCATTCCCTTGCACTGAGGCAGGATTAAGCATACCTAGACTATTTCTGAAACGTGTTGTCTAAACTGTTCTTAAAAACTTCCAATGACAAGGATTCCACAACCTAACAATGAATACAAAACTTTTGAAACAAACAACTTCTTAGGCCATATCTACAGTGCACTGTAAATCTGGGTCTGTGGGACCTGGGCTTGTGTACATGGTGTTTCAAAGCCCAACCTTCAGCGCCCACATTGCATTGTACATCTGGATTTACAGTTGCTGGATCTGGCTCTCACAGCCATGCTAATGCATCCATACTGAACTACATAGACCTTCTGATTTGAGTCTCTGGCTTGAGCTGTCCCCACACTACAAAATAACAGAGCTTGTACAAGAGTTACAGCTGGACTCAGGCTCTGACCACTAGCAGGGTTCTAGGACACAGCTCCTGAGTGCTTACTGACCAGGGTCAGACTGAGTTGTGTGTGGACTGAAGGGGAGTTTGGGGTTAAATCTTAGTCAGAACCCAGGTTTAGTGTGCAATAGACATACCCTAAGAAAGCCATGTGTTCTCTCTAGTGAGGCTATTACTCACTAGACAGTAGCACTACAGTGAGAAAACCTGGATTTGTGCTGGAAATGGCCCAACTTGATGATCACTTTAGATAAGTTCGTACCAGCAGGAGAGTGGGGTGGGAGGAGGTATTGTTTCATGGTCTTCTGCAGTTTCCACAGTATGCATCCGATGAAGTGAGCTGTAGCTCACGAAAGCTCATGCTCAAATAAATTGGTTAGTCTCTAAGGTGCCACAAGTACTCCTTTTCTTTTTGCGAATACAGACTAACATGGCTGTTACTCTGAAACCTTTGATTTTTCTCTGTACACTCTATTTTCTTCAATACTGTACATTTAGGGTAACTTGGAATTACTTACAAATTCTAGAGGGATGAAAACAAAAGTAAGGATTGAGATGAGTCTGAGAAAGAGGGGAAAAAAAGACCTCTGACTGCTCCAGCCTAGATGCCAGGATGCTGGTTGTGGTCCCACTTGAGATATAGGGAAAGCTTCAATGCTAAGAAGGAATGTCCATCACTAGAGCAGATCTGTTCATATTAATATTTCTTCACTGTACCCTGAAGGAGATACACACAGAGAAACTGAACTCAAGTATTCAGAATAGAAGAAAAATATTAGGGGGCCAGATTCTCCCCTGCACTGATGATGCTCAGTGTGTGCGCCCCATCAAGAAGACAATTACAGCCTTCACCCCACACTGCTAATTCTTGAGCTGCAACAGAATAAACCCGGGCCTAGAAGCCTAGGGGCTGCTCAAATTTCTGACAGCCAGCTAAGTTAATTAAAGGACCATATACCATATATATTCCACTTGCCCCTGTCCCCTTCCCACATGTCAGATGGGAGTCAACTGGCCAAGGAGACAATTATGATGGGTTTATGCCAGCTGAGCTTTATTTCTCGCCATGGACTTATCCAGTTTCTGAACACTTATTTCATTATGGCCAAATTCTGCTCATAATTGTGATTAAGACAACAGCATTTGGTCCTAAAAGTGTAAGTCTTAAAGTACTGTACTACTAATTCTCACAGATACACGATTATTTTTTGATCACTGTCATTACCGTAAAACTGCAGGACTCACACAATACTACTTGAACTGTGAGTTCACTTTTATCATGTCTCTTTATTGTATGCACAAAAGAACATCTCTCTGAGTTCAGACATACAGCTTTACATAATATTGTATCACCCCTGGAAGGAAGAAGAAGTCAGAGAGAATAAAAGAGTAACATTAAACTAGGAAATGAGAAAGACAGAAATCTAAGTTTTCAGAAGGTACAACAAGTCCATATGTAAAATGCACAAGTGGTAATACAGTTAATGCTTTTGCAAACCAGCTAAATATATGCATATGTATGTTGGCATTGTTAACTATTTGCATGCATAATTGCATGCACACTAATGATGTACTTTATCATGAGCATTTTTTGCAAGCTCGTTTTGTACCTCCTTTTTAAAAAAAAAAAAAAAAAAAAGCTCTGAGAATGCCTTTATGTCCTGTAGCCCAGACAGTTTTAACCAGGCATAACTATGCATCCATGTGTATATTAAATGCATATTTCCTTTTAATTATTATCCTAATATATATGACTAAAAGCTTTTCACAGTCTGTCACTGTTATTTCATTTCAAGATCATGGTACATCAAGATGAATCTCAGCAGCAGAAACATCAGGATGCTTCGCTATGTTTTGTCCTAAACAATTATTGCTTTAGGGAGATCCCTCTCTATCTCTTTCACATCCATCTTCTCTTGTTTGACATTGTCAAGGCACAAAAAATAATGAAGCATTTAATATATTATTTTTGAAACACCCCAACAGTGTGTGAGGTACATCATAAAACATGGAAACATTACTACTGTAAGTCAGCTGCCTCTATCCATTGTTCAGTTTTGTCATGTACAAGTGACTTCAGGCTGTTAGTGCCAACACAAAGTCCTTTATTGACAAGAGAGGAAACTGAAATCCTTTATCTGGAGACCATATTCAAGCTGTGCCAATATGCTTACTCTGTGGTAAGGGACCATTCAGTCCCTGCCCTGTGCGAAGAATGTCAATAAGGGTGCCAAATTTCATGGTGACATTTGCTACATGGACTACTATCTATTACAAGCCATCATCTCATTTTAGACTGTCATAAATATAGAGGGAAGGGTAACCACCTTTCTGTATACAGAACTATAAATCCCTCCTGGCCAGAGGCAAAACCCTTTCACCTGTAAAGGGTTAAGAAGCTAAGATAACCTCGCTGGCACCTGACCAAAATGACCAATGAGGGGACAAGGTACTTTCAAAGCTGTGGGGGGGGGGGGAGGGAACAAAGGGTCTGTTTGTCTGTCTCTGTGTGTGAGTGATGCTTTTGCTGGGAACAGAACAGGAATGGAGTATTAGAACTTGTGAGTAAGTAATCTAGCTAGAAATGTGCTAGATTTCCTTTTGTTTAAATGGCTGGTAAATAAGCTGTGCTGAATGGAATGTATATTCCTGTTTTTGTGTCTTTTTGTAACTTAAGGTTTTGCCTAGAGGGATTCTCTATGTTTTGAATCTGATTACCCGGTAAGGTATTTACCATCCTGATTTTACAGAGGTGATTCTTTTCCTTTTTCTTTAATTAAAATTCTTCATTTAAGATCCTGATTGCTTTTTCATTGTTCTTAAGATCCAACGGTTTGGGTCTGTGTTCACCTATGCAAATTGGTGAGGATTTTTGTCAAGCCTTCCCCAGAAAATGGGGTGTAGGGCTTAGGGGGGATATTTTGGGGAGAAGACGTCTCCAAGTGGGCTCTTTCCCTGTTCTTTGTTTAACACGCTTGGTGGTGGCAGCATAGGGTTCAAGGACAAGGCAAAGTTTGTATCTTGAGGAAATTTTTAACCTAAGCTGGTAAGAATAAGCTTAGGGGGTCTTTCATGCAGGTCCCCACATCTGTACCCTAGAGTTCAGAGTGGGGAAGGATCCTTGAC